ACTGCCCCCTTTTGACAAATTATTTTTATAGTTTTATCACTTAATCGTTCTTATAATTTGTTCGAATGTGCCAAAAAAAAAACACACACAATTGACGCAATCGTGGTTAACATAAAATAATCTTAATAAATGAAATGTCAAAAGTGCAAACAAACTTAATAGGATTATTTAGTTTCCAATTAATCACGCGTATAGTAGTAGTCCTCCGTCTTAAAGAAAGTTTCGTTTGAAATCCAATTTGCGACGTTGAAGGCGGAAGATAAATGCTTCGAATTAACTTTTGTCCGGGAAAATACGTCGACGTGAAATTACTCGAAAAGTGAAACGTTACGAAAACGAAAGAATCTGTGCGGAAGTTCTTTTTTTTTCCCCTCTTTCCTTCTCCCCTCCATAACTTTTATACCTGTTGGAAAAAAAAAACAGCGATGCCCCGGTGAATTACGCGAGTCACGTCGTAATTCGTTGCCTTTCACCCCATCGTGGAAACCCCGCGAGCTGTCGCTCGGAGGATCCTAAGAAATAGAACTTTAATATACACGTTTCAAGTTCGAAAACTACACGTCGAGGCATCCGCCGGAAAACACAGCAGACGCTGCTTCGCGTTACACGCGATAATCTCTAAAAACTCACCTTTAAAAAAAGGTAAAAAAAAGCGACCAGTTAAGGGCACGCCATTAACAAAAATTATCCATTGCAAACCCATGTAGAATCCTATCCTATTGCAAACCCATGTAGAATCCTATGAAAAATTAATCATTGCAAACCCATGTAGAATCCTAGGCAAAATTAACCATTGCAAACCCATGTAGAATCGTACCCATTGCAAACCTATGTAGAATCCTATGAAAAATTAACCATTGCAAACTCATGTAGAATCCTATGAAAAATTAACCATTGCAAACCCATGTAGAATTGTATTAAAAATTATCCATTGCAAACTTATGTAGAATCCTACATTGCAAACCCATGTACAATAGAATTGTATGAAAAATTATCGATTATAAACCCATGTACAATCGTAACAAAAGTAATGAAATAAAAAAAAATTGCGCCAAGTGAAAGTAGAAACTTGTACCAGTGGAAAATTAAAGTTGCAGACATATATAGAGTCGTATAATGAATCAGTAAAAATTTAAATTTGCAAATGTAGAATCGTACCATAAAAAAACTTATCTTTTAAAAAAAAAGATAAACAAGATGCCAAGTCCATGCGCCATGTGAAAAAGAAATAAAAAAATTTTAGTTAAAAAAACTGGGCGCGCTGCTAAGTTTCAAAATTACAATGCACCTTAAAGTAACATTAATTAATTTAAACACAAAACATATTTTAACTGTAATGAGTTTAAAAGTAACAATTTAATTTTAATATTGTTAGAATATTATTTAGCAGCGCTCCCAGTTTTTTTAACTAAAATTTTTTTATTTCTTTTTCACATGGCGCATGGACTTGGCATCTTGTTTATCTTTTTTTTTAAAGATAAGTTTTTTTATGGTACGATTCTACATTTGCAAATTTAAATTTTTACTGATTCATTATACGACTCTATATATGTCTGCAACTTTAATTTTCCACTGGTACAAGTTTCTACTTTCACTTGGCGCAATTTTTTTTTTATTTCATTACTTTTGTTACGATTGTACATGGGTTTATAATCGATAATTTTTCATACAATTCTATTGTACATGGGTTTGCAATGTAGGATTCTACATAAGTTTGCAATGGATAATTTTTAATACAATTCTACATGGGTTTGCAATGGTTAATTTTTCATAGGATTCTACATGAGTTTGCAATGGTTAATTTTTCATAGGATTCTACATAGGTTTGCAATGGGTACGATTCTACATGGGTTTGCAATGGTTAATTTTGCCTAGGATTCTACATGGGTTTGCAATGATTAATTTTTCATAGGATTCTACATGGGTTTGCAATAGGATAGGATTCTACATGGGTTTGCAATGGATAATTTTTGTTAATGGCGTGCCCTTAACTGGTCGCCTTTTTTTACCTTTTTTTAAAGGTGAGTTTTTAGAGATTATATCATTCATTTTTGTATATTTTTATGACCGGAATAGAACAATTATTAAACATGTTTATCTAAACTTCTTTGCTTAAAATGATGTGTACAATCATATCCTAGAATCCTGATCATTCCTCCTAAAGCACCCTATTTATATAAATTTACCCATATGTGTGTGTGTGTGTGTGTACTAATGTCGAGCATTTTTTATACATTTTCTATTAAATTTAGATAAAAGTTGCAGGATTTCGAAAAAGAAAAAGTTGACACAGACTTTTTCCTAAACGGCGATTTTCAAGGTTATTTAAAGGTCACTTATATTTTCAAAATAGAATTACCTTAATTTTTCTCATATAAATCGATTCCTCGCAATATTTACTATAAAAAGTTGTAAAGGTATAATTTTTACATAATCTTACATAAACTTCGAAATATTACAAATATTTTATTTTATGAAATATTTCAGTTTATGTAAAATTATGTTAACTATCTTTTAAATTATTCACTTTTAGCCATCTTACCCTTACAACCTTTTATAGTGAATATTGCAACAAATTGGTTTATATATATAATATATATATAACATCAGTTATTATTAATTGATGTTTACATTTATTTTTAGACTTACTAGAGCTCAAATGCTCCACATTTTTTGCAAAAACTGTTTATTCTACAGATTTCAAATATGCTTTTAAATGATGATTGAATATTTCCTTTTTTTAATTATTTTTATTATTATTTTTCAATCTCAATCAACTTTTATAACTTTATGCCAGCACGATACAAATACATGTGTCTTTATTTTTTTTATTATTTTCATTATTATTTTTCAATCTCAATCAACTTCTATAACCTTATGCCAGCAGGATACAAATACATGTATGTCTTTATTATTGTATCAACTCTTGTCTTTTCCATGTAACCATGTCTTCATAGTTTGAATTATCCCTTCATCTTCTCAATCTTTCGCAGAGATTTAATTAATTAAATACACTTCACACGAAATAAAGTTTGCTGGAAGATATACAGCAAACGATAACTGTAAAAACATGATTACGTGGAAAGAACAAGAGTTGGTACAGTAAAGGCAAGTAAGTAAGTACATGTAATGTATCGTATTGGCATAACGCTATATCCGCGGAGCAGATAATGTGGCTGTAGAGGTAGTCTGCAGTGCAGCTAATGTGGACGTAGATGTTGATTGAGATAATTGTCTAATATAAAATAGAATTTAAAAATTTAGTTTAAAAAGCTGTTGCATATATAAATAAAGTTTATTTTTTCTAAATTTGGAATATGTTTAATTAATTAATTTTTTAAGTCTATGTTTAATAAATTTTTTAAGTCTGTATTCAATAATTTTATTCATTTGATAAATACATGTATGTCTTTATTTTGATATGTTTAATATAATTAGAAATTCATTATTAATTAGATATGTAAACTATAAATTCATATATAATATTTGAAAATATATGTGAATATTTAAATTTTTATCTTCTCCTTCCTCTCCTTCAATCTCTTTAATATCAATATGTGTATGTGTGTACACGCGCGCACATTTGTACGTATTTATTTAATTATTGGATAGTTGAGAGTACTTAATTGATAAAAAATTATGACAATAATAATCCTTGTTTTTTTTTCTTATTATTTACTCAGATTTTTTTGTCTATCTTATAAGATAAACACTTTAGAGATTGAATATTTCAAGTAAACTAATTGTAAGTAAATTTCACATTAATGCATATAGATGTTTAATCATGAATGTACTAAATAAGTACACAAGACGAACAGTGAGTGAGTGAGTGAGAATGAGAGAGTGTGTGTGTGTGTGTGTGTGTGTGAGAAAGAGAGAGAGAGAGAGAGAGAGAGAGAGAGAGAGAGAGAGAGAGAGAGAGAGAGAGAGAGAGTTAGCCAACATAACCCCGCACGCTGCCGATATGGCGGAGCGCCACTATCGCCATCTGTTGTAAAACGTGCGAGATGGACAAAATTACCACTACATGCATCTTGCATGTGTTGTGTACGTGTGATATATGTGTGCGCATGTGTTGTATACGTGTGAATACGTGTAACACGATACTACTATGTATGCGTGGTCGATGATGATAATGACGGGGACGTTTCTTAATAGAAATTTTTCATATTTCGACTTTGCATTTATATATCTCTGCTTACAAATCACGTAGAGCAGAAATAAAGACACTTTTATTATATAATTCAAACTCAATCTATCGATTAAGTCTAGTATAAACTCGATTGCTTCATCCATTATTGAGGATTCGAAATATTATAAAGACTCAAATGTCCGACTCGCGTTAAGATACACGGTGTCTCCGCTACGCCCTTAACTGGTCGCGAGACACTACCGTGTCTCTTGATACCCATGTAGTATAAAGCGCGTATGTAAAGCGACCCGGCGAAAAGGTGGAATATTAATGAGCGCGAGAGCGGCACCGGAAAACGTTTCGTTTACGACGGAAGTGTGTGCACGGAAATGGAGTTGAATCTGCAGATTTAATCGTTTCGACAAATAATGGTTCCATTTTTTTTTTTTTTACGGATATACGAAATACGGCGAAATATTCGCGGAGAAATTCACGTTACATGTATTCAAATATTTCCTTCGTTCTGCGAGTTAAAAATTAATATTAAATATATATATATATATATATATATATATATATACTATACCTGGACAAAATTATTTTTCGTGTGATCCAACGTAAAGACTTATAAGAGGAAATATCTGTACAAGAAGGGATTTTATCGACAAGTTAATGCAGGCTTTGTCGGAGCGAAAATAGATCGCGGATTGAAAGAGCTGATATTTTCTTTAGCTAGCGAATTCTTCGGCATTATTGCAAAAGAATATCATCAGCGAGAACATTCTGAACGTTACTCAAACAAGCTTCATGCACGTGGGAGAGAACAATATATCGCGCGAGCTATTAATAATTAAGAGGCTTGACATACCTATGTCCATCAGGTGAACCTCGCCGAGATGACGTACGGCGTAAAGGTAGAGCAATCCGAAGGCGAGCTGCATCCCGGTGGTGAGCAACAGGGCGAGAAAACCGGCGGCGCAGACCAACCAGCCCCAACCACCCTCCGGATAGAAATGCGCCCGCATGCCGGCGACGTCTATGCCTGAGATAGGGAAGATTATCCTCTTTATAATTCGAAGATAAATCGCGTCCCGTTACCTCATCGATAGCGAGATATCTCGCGACAACAACGGATTTGATACTTTGCATCTCTAGATGTAGAAAGCGAAAATGAAATGACAACTTGGTGCAAAATAATTATACGTTTCGAGATTAAAATTTTGAATTCATAGTTTGTTTATATTGTAATATATTGGTATAAAAGATATTTTTCTTTCTTTGTATCTAAATGTTGAATTTTTCATAAAATAATTAAGTTCTTTTATTTCATAAAATAAAAAAATATTAAATTTCATTTATATTTAAAATAGCAGCAAAAATTGATACAATGATTTTGCCAGAAAAGTATATTAAAAATTATTTTTTATAATGTCACACATGTTTTTATAAATATCAGTATCACAGTAATACGAACTACAGGGCTATATAATATATGTCACTGTTGCTACTTTTTAAAAATGCACATAAAATGTTTCCAAACGAAATTTGCTGTTACATATAATTAATACACATTTTTAATTATATGTACATTAATACGTTATAATTTACGAAAATGAGAAAATAAAAAAATGGTCATAATAAATTGATTGTACTGAAAATTTATTTCATGCTATTATATTATATAAATTTCATTAAATTAATTAATTTAGTATTAATTTTACGTAACATTATAGAGAAAGAACAGTATTAAAATAAGGTTTGAAATATAGACTAAATAAAACTAGAAATGAAGGAGGCAATTAAGAGCCAAAGCACAGGTTGTAAGATGCCCGAAGTAATTCTTTATTCGTCCTAATTAGACGTTTCGGTCCTTTTATGGGACCATCTTCAGTGCATAAATTCAACAGAATAAGAAAAGCGTATCGTAAGCCGAACTTTTCAAATAGTAATCCTTATTAGTAGTAGTCATAGTAGTCATTACTACTTGACAAGTTCGGCTTACGACACTTTTCTCATCCTGTTGAATTTATACACTAAAGATGGTCCCACAAACGTCTAATTAGAACGAATAAAGAATTATTTTACAACCTGTGCTTTGGCTTTTAAATTGCCTCCTTGATTTTTATTTTTATTTAGTATTATTTAGTATTACATAGTATTTTATTAGAGAAAGACTTCAGAATAAGGGATGATATTCCAGATGATGATAATAATCATATTATTATTATTATTATTATTATGAGCGCATATGAGAAAATGCAAAGCATATTATGGAAAGAGGAAGATTATATACCTGTACGACGTAATGCGGGTACGCAGCGATGCAGACTGCGTAAATCACCGAGGACCCAGTTCGTGTTACCTATAGTCTCGTCCCCGTCTATATACCGCAGCCGAGTGTCTGAAAGGAATCGCGAAATTAATGGAGAAACGGAATTATTCGCGCGACCTTTTTCTCTTTTCTTCTATCTCTCGAGATCGATTAAGCGAGGGATGTTATTTCTGTATAATAATTCTGAGAAATACAATTTGCTCGAGAGAAAACCTCCGAGGCAACCCCCATTAAATATCACCATCAAGCGCGAGCGAGAAGTTGAATTGCAACGTTTAATACTCGAGATACACAATACTTTCCGCGTCGAATTTTTCTCCGCAAGCGTGAATCGCTGTTAGACGCCATTCGCAACGTCTCCCTGCGGTTGGCAACATCGTTTGCATGAGACAAGGCGCAAGATGGGTAAAAAACGAGTTGAAAGAAACTCTGCGCCGAAGGTGGAGGAAGGCGGAGGCGAGGGTTAGCAAAATGCACTTTTGAAAGGGCGAAGGTGGTGGGTTGTGACGTCGGACGTAAAGGAAAGGGTCAGGAAAGGGAAAGAAAGGGAAGGAAGGGTTGATGATCGCGGGATGGAAAAGCGACATTCTTTCCTTGTTTCATTTTCGTGAGATAAAAAGCGAGTGTCGCGAATTCGCAACGTTATATACAGGATGTCCGGTAACTAACGGACCAACGATTACAAATGGATTCTTTGGTCAATTTGGGGATGATTTTTCCTCAGCGAAAATGTCGAAAAAGGTCATCATCATTTTTTACAACTTTCCAATATTTGTCATTATGTATCTTTATAACTAAGCCTCAAATTCAAATTTTATTATAGTAAACTCTTCCTGAAATTAACCGAAGAATGTAATTATGTTAGACTTTTAACTCCAAAACGTTTGGTTTTCAAAAAACCCATTTTTTTCAATCGCTTATAACTCGAAAATTATTGACTTCTCAACATTTTTGCTAAGGAAAAATCGTCTCCAAATTGGCCAGAGAATCCGCCCTTAATCATTGGTCCGTTAGTTACCGGACACTCTGTATATATATATTGTTTTTTCTTCCTTTTTTTCTGACGGGGAAAATTATCCAACTGAATTATGAACGACCCGTGTACGAAATTGCCTGTTGTGATCGCGTTTCCCGATCGATATAAAACTTTTCCATTAATCGCGTGAAATGTTAAACACCATCCCCATAGGGATTTTACATCGTCACGAGCGTCTTGGCGAAAATTAAATTTCCACGTGTACACACTGAATCGTATTTAAATTTGAACGAGTCTGATAATCGATTTCTCAACTAGTAATTTTCATCGCCATTTAATTAATGCCTCGCTTCGTTTTGATTGAAAATATAAAGAAGAATTAATAATTTCCACTTTCTTCGGAGTTTAAAAAAATTGTTTTTTACCTGAATTTGTTTCTCAGCAACTCTCTCTCTCTCTCTCTCTGTAAGTAAACTTTTTTTCATTATATTTTGTAAAATATAATGAATTTGTAAATATACTACACGAGTACTCTATTAATTTTATCGCTTTACGTTGGTGACGTGATTAAAATTGAATTTGCAAATGTATCTCATATATATATATATATATATATATATATATATATATATATATATATATGTATTTCGTAGTTTCTCGTTTATTCGCTTGTGGTCTTCGTGTCATATGACAGTTTGACATCAGTTGTAAATTATCGTGCCACTGTTTCTGGCGCGCGCGAGTTAAATTGCAATGCAATTGAATCCCAACTAACATATAAGTCCGTAAGTGGATAAGTTTCTACGTCGTCGCGAACTGCGTTGCTTATTAACGTGTTCAGCGTTAAAATCTATTAAGAGAAGATTATTTGTACGCTATCATCGCTGACATAACGCGGGAGATGGCTGTGTTTTAGAAGGGTTAAATTATTAGCGAAAACGAGGTATTCTTCACATTCCCCTACATAATGAAAATAAGGAACTAGATGAGAAGGAGGGAGTCACGCATTTAACACGAGGAACGCGCGTTTTAACGAGGGAAAGTGAAAAGGGATGGACGAGGCGACAGGAGGTATTTCGCTGAAAATGACGCGAGACACGGAAATTGTCGGGGCCGGGTTTCGACCCCTGACTTATACCGCGAGAAAGCGAAATTGCCGTGGGACGAGTTACGAGGATGATCTCGTGACGCGCCGTAAAAGGTGCGGTACGTTCGCATTTCTTGCGAGAACGTGTCGCCTCCTTAGCGGAATCACGGCGCACGCTTTCGCGATTCAAACGATAAAATGTGCAATGTAAAATCCCGCGGCGAACAGCATCGGGAATGCAATTGCGCAGTGATTGCGATAAATGCATAAAAAGCGTGCGAGTGGCTCGGGAATAAAAAGGAATCTCTCGAATGCGAAACTTCGCGGATGTTTTTATTCCCTACCGTGCTACCATTTTTTTTTACTCCGTACGTGTCTTGTAATTAAATGATCAAATTAATAAACGTTCTCGTCCTAGAAAAATAAAAAGTCATATGTTCGATATTTTCTACACAATTCTATTAATCGATTCAAAAATATTAAACTTCTCCGTTCATAATGAATAAATTGTTGGATCCTTTCGAGCAAAAGAAGTGAGGTATCGTGCCATACGTGTCTTGTAATTAAATGAGCAAATTAATAAACGCTCTCGTCCTAGAAAAATAAAAAGTCATATGTTCGATATTTTCTACACAATTCTATTAATCGATATAAAAATATTAAACTTTTCCGCTCATAATGAATGGATTCTTTCGAACAAAAGAAGTGAGGCATCGTGCCATACGTGTCTTGTAATTAAATGATAATTAATAAACGTGTTTTTTTCGCCTTTGGATATCATTTGTCCTACGTCCTCGAAAAATAAAAAGTCATATATTCGATATTTTTTACATTAATTCTATTAATCAATAAAAAAGAATATTAAACTTTTCCGCTCATAATAAATGGATCCTTTCGAACAAAAGAAGTGAGGTATCGTGCCATACGTGTCTTGTAATTAAATGATAATTAATAAACGTGCTTTTTCGCCTTTGGTTATTATTTGTTTTGCGTCCTCGAAAGTAAAAAGGCATCTGTTCGATATTTTCTACACTAATTCTTCTATTACTCAATAAAAAAAATATTAAACTTTTCTCCCTGTGCCGCTCATAATGGATGGAATGTTGATTCTTTCGAACAGAAAGAAGTGAAGGATCGCGCCACACGTGTCTTGTAATTAAATGATAATTAATAAAATGTGCTTTTTCGCCTTTGGCTATTATTTGTCCTGCGTCCTCGAAAAATAAAAAGTCATATGTTCGATATTTTCTACACTAATTCTTCTATTAATCAATAAAAAAAAGGGAAATTAAATTTTTCTCTCTTTGTCGCTCATAATGGATGAATTGTTGATTCTTTCGAACAAAAGAAGCTAGGCATCGACGTGTCTTGTAATTAAATGATAATAAAATGTGCTCTTTCGCCTTTGGCTATTATGCGTCCTCGAAAAATAAAAAGTCATACGTTCGATATTTTCTACACTAATTCTTCTATTAATCAATAAAAAAAGGGATATTAAATTTTTCTCTCTTTGCCGCTCATAATGGATGAATTGTTGATTCTCTCGAACAAAAGAAGCGAGGCATCGAGCCACTCGGAGCTTCACGAGTCGGTCGAGATTGAAAACCAACCTACAGTCGACCTACATTTTTGATAGACACTGTTTTCGACGATACATCAAGTCTCGAAATTCCCAGGTATATCTCTGACACGGTTAAGTGGAATTGATTTTTATTTCACTGTATCTCTCTCTCTCTCATCATATAACCTTTTCTCGTCCTATTTCTCGTTCAGCTTCTTGCCTTTGTGTAGACACGAAAGGCATGATAACTGAACAACGATTTTTGCTAAAAATTCTAAAATTCTATCGATACATGCTACAAGAACGTCGTTCCGACATGAGTACCTACAAAGCGTAAGTTTGGAAATATTTTCTAAGAAAATATTTGATAAGAAAATTCTCTACATAGAGAATTATGCAATAAACCTCGCGGGTACACGCGATTCGCGAAATTATTATAAATTCTTGGAGATATATTGTATTAATTTGAATTACTTCAAGTTTAATTATATTTATAATATTCTGAGTAAATTTTTAATTATATAAATATCAACGCTTACAAGTTTAATGTTATCTCTCTCCTCTGCATAAACAACATAATCTGTTATAATGCATTAAATTCAAATTTATAAAAGCATGATAATACAATATAATATCCAGAATTTATATTAAATATTTTAATATTGAATTAAAACGCTCGAAGAAAAGAGAATAGATCGCAATATCGAGATCCTCTGTAATGAGAGTCGAGTGTTCAAAGATGAAAAGTATTAACTGAAAGGTAAACTCACCGCCGTGATATGAACTTCCACGATGTGGCGTATACGTGCCATTTTGACCCTCCATACAATGAGTCGGCGTATAATACTGCATGGGATGTTGCATGTAATTATTGGGGGTGCTGGGAACATGTACCGGATGACAATGTATGCATCTTCGCGGTGTCTCGGGCGGAACCTGCAAGCAAGATAAATTTTCAAAGCGTTTGAGAGAGGAAGAGAGAGAGAGAGAGAGAGAGGGAGACAGAAAATACGATGTCGTGGAATTCATGACATGCAATCATCCATGTTTATTATTATTATTACTGTGAAATATTGCTCTGCAATGTAATATTATACGAAAGAGAAAGAGAGAGGTCTATTTATCATTATTATAATTATATAATTGAAACATTAATATAATTGGTACCATATAATATGAAAAGATTTAAAAGTATTAAATATAATAAATTAAATATAATATAATAAAAATATATATTTAAATATATATTTGAATATATATATATATATATATATATATATATATTTAAAAATATTAAATTATATATTCGCATATTTTTTCCGGGAAATGTTCGAAATGTAAAAATGTCGTTTTCGTTACTACACAAAACACGACTCCATATATTATTATGTTCTTAAATTTAATCAGAGTACATTAAATTATAAAGTAAAAATTACAAGAAAATAGTACAACAAAATCTAAAAATAAATATCAATATTAATTATCGATACATAACACAAAATCTATATCTACAATTCTAATCTGATTTCTCAGTAAAGAAAAATCTTCGACTGGCATCAACTAATATTTGTGAGAGCCTCGTTTAGATTAATTAGAAGATTAGGTGGACAAATAAATTAGAGGGATGGGCCCAGAGCCGAGTCCTTTACGCTCACCTGCATAGAATGTTGCGAGCGTAACGATCTTATCGAACCGGTCGGGTGCAAGGACGGCACGCTGCCGCCGAAGCTCATGGCTGAATTTCTGCATCCCGGGGTGGACCATCCCCCACGCACGCCGGCCGCGGTCCACCCCATTCCGTTTCCGCAGTCGTCCACCAGCATCTTCAAGGGCGAATGGAGGACGCGATCTCGCGTCTTTTACGCTTCCGACGACATCGCCGATGTCAAGAATCCGCTTCTATTCCTCTCGCGCTCGTTGCACCTTTATTCACGTCACGTTACCCCTTCATCGAGGAGGCGAATAGCAAATTACATCCTTCTTGCTTACTGTCAAATTCGCCTCGAGTCCCTCACTCGGCTGTTATACGATGTTAGACGAGCCTCGGCGGATTCTGGACACGGTCGTTCAACGGCGTGCTCGAAATTAGGAAACTATTTTCCATCTCGGTCTGTAAGCAAAGAGGGCAGAACGTTAGCTGATTTGTTTCATTTTTAGTCATACTGAAATAATTTTGATTATTTAATATAATTATATTAGATATATGGTACGTGTCCGCGTATAAATTCTCCATGGATTTTGTTCTCCATTCCAGTATTCCGATGCGTATATCATTTGCAGAGTACGCTAAAATATAATTTTGAACGACGTATTTCGAGAAGAAGATATGTATCAGAAAAACTATAATTTGAAATTTAATCAGTAAAACTTTCATTATTCGGAATTGATGCGCAAATGATGCATTTGGTTATGCTATGTATGTTAAAAGCCTTTTATTAACATTTGCCTATTAATTAGTTGTATAATTATTTCTCGAATAAAATTGTTGAAATATGCATTTCAATGCGCAATTATTATTAAAACACTGCAACAGTCTTTGTATTATTATGCGGCTAATGAAGATCATACAATTTTACAATTATATATCATTACACATATAGAAAAAAAGGATTAATTATTAATGAAAGCATCAAATGTAAAATCAAATATATAGGTATGCATCCAAATGCGTATATCAAATACAATATACATTGTAGATAAAATTCGTTCGATTTATATACACGAAGATTTATAGGATAAATGTATTATGTATGTACTCGTTCGAGAAGAGAGTCGATGAGGATAAAATTGATAATACGGATACGAATGCATATCGGACACGTACGCGCAAGTCATGTTGCTTGGAATTTATTGACATATACGCCGAAAAACACATTCCATTTCGCCGATCAACTTCCATTAATTTCTGACTTTCGCAATTTTCATCGACGATGGGTCTTGCACTTTTAACAAAAATCCTTTTGTCGATTTACAAAAATTACGCGGCCTACATTGTCATTGTCTCGTATATATAATCTCTAAAAACTCACCTTTAAAAAAAGGTAAAAAAAGGCGACCAGTTAAGGGCACGCCATTAACAAAAATTATCCATTGCAAACCCATGTACAATAGAATTGTATGAAAAATTATCGATTATAAACCCATGTACAATCGTAACAAAAGTAATGAAATAAAAAAAAAATTGCGCCAAGTGAAAGTAGAAACTTGTACCAGTGGAAAATTAAAGTTGCAGACATATATAGAGTCGTATAATGAATCAATAAAAATTTAAATTTGCAAATGTAGAATTGTACCATAAAAAAACTTATCTTTTAAAAAAAGATAAACAAGATGCCAAGTCCATGCGCCATGTGAAAAAGTGTTAAACAAAAAAGTATTTTTAAGTAAAAAATCTATCAATTGACAAAAATTGATGTTCTAAAATTAATATCTCTACAAAAAGTAATGTCCAATTATTGCGCGAATAAATAAACATTTTTATAAAAAATTAAAATTTAAAAACTTATGCAAATTTAAAATTAATATAAAATAAAAAGAAATAAAAAAATTTAGTTAAAAAAACTGGGCGCGCTGCAATGAGTTTAAAAGTAACAATTTAATTTTAATATCATTAGAATATTATTTAGCAAAATGATTTGGTATTCAGACTTCGCAACACACACTTGAAATATCGGGGAAAAGGACTTGTTAAAACGATAATCATGCTCAAATGTCGCATAACTTGGCATCTCAGACCAATCGCCTTGCATATCTATTGGTCAACAGCGAAGAATCGTTTCAATTTTATATTTTAATATTTAACTAACTTTGTATTTTTAACATCTAACTTTATATTTTAATATTTAATTTTTATGTATTGATAAAGACTGTAGTGCAGTCGAAACGTTTACAATTTATATCGATTCTGTAACGGAATGTTAATTTAATGATTTAACTATTAATAAAAAAATTTTTACATCTTATTTATTTGCTCGTTTAGTTGGCCTACTATATATGATTGTTTAATTTTGTTTAATTTATACGAGCCTTTCATTAATTAATTTTAATTGATTATATTTATAAGTATTTTTATATTATCTTAAAAAGACTGCATAGAATTATTTGTGCGACACTCTTATATGTATGTATAATTAATAGGGACCAACTACACATTTTTTTTCCACTGAATAAAAACAATCTCAATATTAAAATTAAATTATAAAAAGATACTGTGATATTTTATTGATGAGAAATGTACATTTATAATTGTATTAAATACAAAAATAAACATGCCATGAATTACTATATATACATGTTTTCATAATTATCAAACTTAAAAATATAATATTGTTACCAAAGAAGAAAGCACTATTTAAAAACTCTAAAAGTTCATAATTTGTTAAATTAGTAATTAAATACTGCATTTTGTATAATTTTTAAGCTTTATTCTTTTATTTTTCTTTATTTAATTGAATAGATATTAACATCCAATGTAGCATACAGATTAAATTAACAACCAAAAAAATAAATCTTAACTTTGAAATATATTTTTGTTTCTTTTAAATATCAATCAACTGGATTTTGTACTACTATTAATATGAATTCTTTATCTGGTGCCATCATAATTTTATGTTTTTTGCTACGTATGCGCAAGAAAGTTAAATCATTTGTTGGATTCAAGTCACGTACGACAGAACGAGCTTTATCTGACAATTGACTTATCAAACCTGCGTATTGAACTGTTGTCGTATTATCTAATGTTGACTTTATAGGAATACCTAAAACAAATATAATTTTATAAATTTTTGTTTACAACTACAAGTAAATCATGTCAATGATCTCATGTAATACCTTCTGCATTCGCCACTATTGTTCCAACTACCCTTTTATGAGACTGAATTTGTTTCATAGTTTCTTCAACCTCTTATAAATTATTTCATCGAAATTTATTAATAAAATTTTTATTTTAAATATTCCAATAACGGAAGCAAATCATATGGAATAAATGCGTTCTTTAATTGTAGGCTGCATATGTGGTGGATGACTGTAAGTCCGACAAAATTCCAATATTCCATGGGAATCTATCAAAATCTATATTGTCATACTTAGCCAATGTATTACACAATATATTATGGTATATACAGGCCAGATGCTTGCAATGACACTGAGCAATAAGATCCTTGCCACTACAATCACAATGATAAAAATGATTAAATAAATTTAAAAAAATATATTATTTTGATACAAAGTGTGTGATGAATAATATTTAATTTTGTATATTAATTATTGGATATATATGTACCTGCAATAAGAAAATGCCAGAAAAATTGTAAAATAGTTCCTATAGCACTGATATTAGATTTATCTTGTTAAGCTAATCGAATGCTGCGATGATAACTAGCCATTGCCCAACCCATGCTCACAAGTGAGCTGATAATGCTACCTGCTTGATGTACAACTGAAAAAAATATAGAAGCTAATTAAGAAAATTATTAAAAATATATGCATACTCATACATAGGCATTTATATAATTGAAATATTATTGAAATAATAGCAAAATATCTGATTTTGTATCACAGACTGTAAACTTGCACATAAATTATTATGACAATAAATTTGCAAATAATAACATTAAAATTGAATGTAAAAATTGAAATTGGAAATTGAAAATATCTAACCCCGCACGCTGTCAATATAGCGGAGGGCAACTATCGCCGTCTGTTGTAAAACGTGCGAGATGGACATTTCCAATACATGCATCTATTCATGTGTTGTGTACGTGTGATATATGTGTGCGCATGTGTTGTATACGTGTGAATACGTGTAGCACGATACTACTATGTATGCGTGGTCGATGATGATAATGACGGGGACGTTTCTTAAAAGAAATTTTTCATATTTCGACTTTGCAATTATATATCTCTGCTTATAAATCACGTAGAGCAGAAATAAAGACACTTTTATTATATAATTCAAACTCAATCTATCGATTAAGTCTAGTATAAACTCGATTGCTTCAGCCGTTATTGAGAATTCGAAATATTATAAAGACTCAAATGTCCGACTCGCGTTAAGATACACGGTGTCTCGGCTACGCCCTTAACTGGTCGCGAGACACTACCGTGTCTCTTGATTTTGGAAATTACGCGATTATATCATATTTTTCTCTCTTCAGACAATTCATTAAAAAAAACTGAAAGAGTTACAAGGTAAAAGTAAAAGAACTGAAAATTAGTTCTCCGAGAAAAAAAGATCTCGATGTCTAATCATTCTCCCCTGAAATTATATAATTCACGAAAAAAATTTTAACAATTGATGGGATTAAAAGCGCATCTGCGTACGAGTTTTTGAATCTCACGCAACACCATAATAATTATAGTCGCATTTCCATCAAACTAACAGGTATTGGTATTTATGCATTACAGCCACAGGCCTTTTGTATCGCTTCTGTTTTCGAAATATTCATATAGGATAATATACTGCTTACGATAATGACACAGTGATCTAGTTAATTATAATATTATCTGTAATAACTCGGATACATGCGATTGTTATTTCATATTTAACAAATTTTTACAAAAATTATATCTGTGCCTTGTCTATAAAAGCTGTCAATATAAAATTTAATCCCTTATCTGTTATATATTATTTTATGTTTTTGAAGCATTATTTTTATAAATGGTATATGTAAAAAAAATATATAATACAATGAATAATATATATACATATATATGTATAAATAAATAAATACAAAAATCTTCTTAACTAAAAAAAAATAAATAAACTGTCCTATAAGAGTGATTTTTACAACGCTCTTTTATAAAAAAAAATGCACACTTGTGATATTTTTTTGTTAACAATAGTTTTCCACTAACCACATTTGGATATATCTCGAGGCAAATAATATGATAAATAATACATCCCGTTATTTCAATGTTTAGAATTAAACTACGTATTACGTTGGATCTTCCGCAATTTTTATCTCACAAGATTTATGTTCATCGTTGATCCTTCGTCTTGCCCTGTTGCGAGCTCGATATCATAACCGCGATGCACATGCACATGCGCATGCATATAGTGAAGTCTCGCGAAATAAGAATAACAGAAATGTTAAAAACAAACGACAGATTTGTATTCGCCGCTCCGGCGTATATTTCAGCTCTCACGTCGACGACGAATATCGAACCGGGAAAAAGAATTTTCGCAATGTCCCTAAGAATACCGCGGTCGTAAATCCTTTCACAAAGCGCTTTTTAATCGGCGCAGCTAAACGGATGAAGTTCCAGAAATAGGCGACGTTGCACGCGTTTTTTATGTTTTATTCCTCTTCCCTCAAAAAAAAAGAACGAAAAAAAACTCGCTTCGTTATCTTAAATTGATAACCTTCGATTAAAAAAAAAAAAAACAAAACTAGTATTTGTCGATGTAATTTCAAAGCGTTCTTCGATTCTACAAAATCTAACGTAATTTTGAAACGCTACGAATAAGTAATGCAAATAATTTTGATGAGTATTTGATATCTCCTAGAGGAAGGAATATTTATATATAATTTCTTTCTCCCTTCTTCGTCCTCCTCGGAGTTTTGACCCCAAGTCGAATTCAGTCGACGAGATAACTTGATATTCATCTAAATAAATAACTTGAAATAGCTTCTAGAATTCTGTTACCGACCGGATATATAGATCCGCGCTTTAGTCTTCTTAGTATATTTTTAGTGAAATCAATATTTTTTGCTCCTTTAACGCAAATATACCGCATCGTATCGCCGCACGTTTAATCATCTCTAGCGATTAAATTAAATTTACAATGCAGCATATGAGAAAGAATTGTATACGTGATTTGAAGCGAAATTACCCTGGGAAGATTAATATCGCGCGCGCGGATCTTGCGCTAAAAAAAAAAAAGAAAAAAGAAAAAAGGACAATCAAATTAAAAAAAAAAAATAAATAAATACGTATGCGCGCTGTGCGCATACGTAACGAACTTAATACTGCATATATAAAGAATAAAAAGCGCATTTCATTATATGCTCGACTCGTTATAATTGGCGAGTGACACTACTCGCGTAGTGATATAACGATATAACTGAGTTCTAATTATGACGCATTTATAAAAGTCCTTTAGAAAAAGGGAGGAGAGTGTGTATACTTTTTCGATAAATATATCGTATTTTGAATCTTTATGCGGCCGCGAACTAATATCGAATAACATTGTAATTAGCGGGCAAAAACGTATGTATATATATGTGTGTATCGTAGAACGAAAGCAGAGTCCATTTCCCCAACCGAATAAAGCAACCCCGTGTAATTATCATTTATGTATGCAGGCGCGAAATGAACTGGATACGCGCAATCGCTTTATTACATACGGTCCGTGCTTGCATTGCCTTACTGCTTTAGCCATATTCTTCCATGCGTGTAATGGATACAGTCATGTATATATTGATTATTCGCGTAACCCCGCGATCTCTTTCAAACATTGTTAAATATGGTTCTAAGGGGAAACGCCAATATTAATGTGTTTGCATACAAAATAGTTCAAACTGTTAACAGCAGGTGTTAATCATCCGTCAAAGTTTTAACATTTTTTAAATCAAACAAGTAATTTTAAATAATCTTTGTATATACGTATAATATAAAAATTTGTTATATCCCCCAAAATATACAATAGATATAACTATTAAAAGTTAACTAATATTAAGAAATGGGTACTCGTATTGCATCCGCAATTACGACAGACACTGACCGCGTTAAAAAACGCATACGATGCGAGGTATACGCGGAATCAGAATTACGACAGATAATGACCGCGTTAAAAAGCGCATACGATGCGAGGTATACGCGAAATCAGAATTACGACAGATAATGACCGCGTTAAAAACGCATACAATGCGAGATATACGCGGAACAGAAATTGGTCAACGTGCAAGCAAAGCAGAAGGACTTTGAATCTGCTTCGCTTGCACCTAGATTCTCGACCGGGGAAACCTGTTGCCAGGCACCCCTTCCGATCGGGAAAACTCCAAAAAACAACGATATAAAAAGAGAGTAGAGACGCGACAGCTCGCTCAGTCGCAGACACAAATAATCGCTCTAACCACGATCTCGCTAACCGCGCGCGCACTTAGCATCGACTCGCAGTTGTGCGCGATACGCGGAGTAATATAAAGTCAGTGCCGCACACTCGTAAAGCTACAGTGTATTGATAGTGAAATAAAATAAAGACCAAGTGGTTGAAATTGAATAAAGAATTTTAATACAAAAAGTGTAGTGCATTTCTCTACAAACACCCGACAAGTCCTGACGCCCCGGATTCCCATCCCAATTTGGCGCGACCCTTAAGTGTCTCTCCCGAGGCACACAACAATTTGGTGGCAGCGGTGGGATTGCGCCGAAGGACCGTCAGGAACTACTCGGAGGAAGACCTGAAAAATACAGCAGTATTAATAAGCAGGCACGTCGAACATAATAATCGACGGGAAACAAACAAAACAGAAGCCGACGTATAAGCAGCAGCGTGCCGTACGTACAAAAAAAAACACACCCACACGGACAACGCATCAGCCGTCGGGAAGTAGGCCATCACCTAAGGACGCGACCTACGACAATACGGACAACGCATCGCACCGTACAGCGACCCGCAGGATCACCTTACGACACCGGACCGCCAGCCGTATCAACACTGCCGAGCGATGATCTGCAGCGTCAGCAAGCGAGCGATAGTAACATTAATGTAAGTCCGAACCAAACTTTTACACATACTGCATGAATGTCGGAGGAAAGCGAAACACCCCGACAAGCAATAGCGAATAATTCGTGGTTACATAGCGACTCAGCCGCACGATCAATCAAAGCACTACCGATAACCTTAGAAAACCTCGGAAAAGTGCGGATAAAATTAGAAGCATATTATTCAGGAGAGAGCGACTCCGAATCATATACTCACGGGAAAGCCGAACGCGAATTTCCGTTTAACATTTTTGACGAAAGTTTATTTGAAGAAGGGGAAACCAACACCGGTAAAAATTTAAGAAAAGAAAGTAACGAACGCGTGAGACGAACTCCTAGCAACGGGTCACAACACGGGGAATCTTTGCTTACATCATACGATAGTAGTATTTTCGATCCGAGTGAGTATCAGGACATGCTGCGAACACCGCCTAACGGTGGCATGGATGTGTCCGAGGGTGCCATCGACCGCGAGATTGACCGTCTACACGGTACAATAGCTCGCGACAACACTCGACTGGTGGAAGCTGACGTACATGCACCACCCCCTAATAGCGAAATAGGAACAACTAACCCCCGCGATACCAGACGATACATAGATAGACACATTGACGAAATCGAGGTGCGCGAAACTCCTAATTATAGGGAGGCCGGAATAGATAACCCCATGCTACGTGAGATAATGAGAGGCATGCGAGAACTACGTAGGAAAATAGACATATTGCGCGAACAAATTCGTGATATTAGCACATACGCGGACGAACGAGGTCGAATCCGCCGGGACACACACACCCGCGAGAGAGAAACGCGAGACCCCGACAATGACGACAAAAAATATAACGTTGTGTACGGACGAACAGAGAGTGACGCTAGACATCGACAAGGCCCGCAGGAGCCTTTTTTATCGTTAAAAGAAGCACGGCAAATGATCCCGGAATTTGACGGGACGGCCCAACATAAATTACAGGAATTCCTAAGCACATTCACATACGCCATGACAAACATACACCCTGCTAACGAAAGAGGATTGGTGGGAGCTATCCTTTGCACGAAACTCAAAGGCAAAGCAATGTTAGATTTTCAAACGCGAGACATACAGACATACCACGAACTCAAGCGACAATTGGAATGTACATATCAGAGTAGGCGAAGTACTACGTATTTGCAGATAGAGTTCAATTCCTTAAAACAAAAGGCGAATGAAGGCGCGCAAGCTTTCGGAACGCGCGTCGATACCTTAGCTATGGAGTTATATGAATCCATGACGGAGGGAGAAGATCACTCCCCCATTGCAAAGCGGATCATACTAAGTACTATACAAAAACAAGCCTTGCAAAATTTCCAAATAGGACTACGCGACGAGATACAACTTCTTATTCGTTCTCGAAATTACCAAACACTGCAGGAGGCAATAACGGCCGCAACCGCCGAAGAAAAAGTAAAGGGCACAACTACAACGCGATCTAGTAATTACACAAATCGAAACCGTTACGAGGGAGCGCCGTCGCGATCAACAAAGAATGCTGTACAATGTTATAAATGCGGAAAATCGGGGCACTACGAGCGAGAATGCCGTAACAGTAAATACGCGCTTCCGAAACCCGAGAAGTCAGATCGGGTAATCACAGCAGAAAAGTTTTGCAATTACTGCAAAAAACGTGGACACAACCGTGAAGAATGCTGGACATTAAATGGACGGTTAAAAATGACATCAAGTCACGATAGAATAAACGGTGATAAAAAATCGCGTAACGTTAATGTAATCAAAAGTCGTAAGAAGCTGAAAACGAGAAACAGTGATACGGATTCCGAGCGAAGCAGTAACAATGACGAGCAAAGTAGCGACGAGGACGAAAGACAAGAGAAAAAGAATAAGACGACACGCGCGCGGGAATATCAGATGTCACACGTGCGCCGAACGCCGAGAGAGAAAGAGAGTTTAAATATAATTAATCTGCCCATGCGAGAGGCAAAACACGGGAAAGTAAATATGCTTTACGATTCGGGAGCTACGATTTCATTGATAAAAGTGAAACTCTTAAAAGGCGAGACCGAAATTTACAACGATAAAATAACTCTCGTGGGAATAACCGGTCACAAGGCAAAGACAATCGGAAAAATGTACGCGACCATTAAGCTAAATGGGAACAAAATAAAACACGCAATTTACGTTGTGAAAGATGAATTTCCGATGGAATTTGACGGAATTATAGGAATAGATTTCCTGAAGAAACAAAATGCTTGTTGCAACCATAGGAAACGAGAGCTGCAACTAGGAAACGCGGTAATAAAACTGCGCCCGTATGAGAAGATCCGACTACGGCCGCGCAGCGAAACGATTAACCGAAATTTGAATAGGTCACGAAAAAACGAATCTGAGACCGAACGCGACAGGAACGAGGGAGACTCGGAAATAGAGACCCCGGTACGCGTAAGCCAGTATCGCTTATCACATATCCGACCCGCCGTAACTAAAAATATCGCAGGAATCATAAAAGCCGAACAAACCGCGCCAGGAATTTTTTATCGGACGATACCTAGACCAACAAAAATTTTTTAAAACAAAATTGAAGTCGGTGAAAAAATGCTTATATATGACGAAACGCTACAACAAGGATAACCGAAAAGAAAACCTCCGACGCCTAAGGTACAATAAGGAAGAGAGAAAAAAAGAGGGGGAAGAAAAAGCGATACGCATGCACACGACAAAATTAAAGTTATTTATTAAACACTAGGGACTTACCTATTCTGGTATCGCGAATCGATCAAGGCTGGTCGCCCCCACCAAAACCACCACTTCACGCACCACTCGCGTACCGGTACGCGTATCGAGGGTGACGTGCAAGGAATGCGGCTCACCCGCCCTCCGGGACACATTCGCCCACCGGAGCACCATATCGTACGCCCGGGTATACTCGTCCCTCGTTATTTCGGGCCCCACAACAGGGGCGCGGGCGCGACAGTAAGGACACAACAAATCGTCCAAATGCGAATAAGCATTGCATCTAATACAATTAAAACGAAAACGACAGTATGGATCCCGTTACATCAAACACACACATGGTTGTACTCAACAGCTAAGGAAGAAAAAATAAATATAAAATGTGACGGATACACAGAAAAAAATTTAATAATAAAAAATACCGGCCGACTAACCTCACGAGGAAACTATCAAATTAAAACGCAGAATTAATAGAATTACGAACAAAAATAAACAACATAGACAATGATTTACAGGATAATGAACAAAAGTTTTATACAAGAAAACAATTTATTTATCCCATGACCTCGAGCGGGTTAGTAATAATCATAATTATAATATTTATCATTGTCATTATAATTTGGAAGGTAAAAAATAGAAAAGACATTAAAAGAAGACCAAGAGTGACGATACTCGACGATGACTGGGATGTACCTAGATCTATATTAAATAAAAAGGAGTAATAGTACGCGTTTTTAGGAAATAGGAAACGATTATAATTATATTGTGAACGGGATAAACATTTGTAAGCTTTAGTTGTAAGCGAAAAACTTCATGCCTTCGTTTTTCTTCTTTAACGGGGGAGGGATGTTATATCCCCCAAAGATATACAATAGATATAACTATTAAAAGTTAACTAATATTAAGAAATGGGTACTCGTATTGCATCCGCAATTACGACAGACACTGACCGCGTTAAAAAACGCATACGATGCGAGGTATACGCGGAATCAGAATTACGACAGATAATGACCGCGTTAAAAAGCGCATACGATGCGAGGTATACGCGAAATCAGAATTAAGACAGATAATGAACGCGTTAAAAACGCATACAATGCGAGATATACGCGGAACAGAAATTGGTCAACGTGCAAGCAAAGCAGAAGGACTTTGAATCTGCTTCGCTTGCACCTAGATTCTCGACCGGGGAAACCTGTTGCCAGGCACCCCTTCCGATCGGGAAAACTCCAAAAAACAACGATATAAAAAGAGAGTAGAGACGCGACAGCTCGCTCAGTCGCAGACACAAATAATCGCTCTAACCACGATCTCGCTAACCGCGCGCGCACTTAGCATCGACTCGCAGTTGTGCGCGATACGCGGAGTAATATAAAGTCAGTGCCGCACACTCGTAAAGCTACAGTGTATTGATAGTGAAATAAAATAAAGACCAAGTGGTTGAAATTGAATAAAGAATTTTAATACAAAAAGTGTAGTGCATTTCTCTACAAACACCCGACAAGTCCTGACGCCCCGGATTCCCATCCCAATTTGGCGCGACCCTTAAGTGTCTCTCCCGAGGCACACAACAAATTATAATATACAAACAATTTTAAAAATTTACTCTACTGCACATAATATAATTAAATTATTTTATTTAATTTAACATAATAAATTTTTATTTTAATAATAAATTACATATTATATAATTTAATTATTATAATAATTACATAATTTATAATTAATACTTTAATAATAATATAATTAAATATTATCTATGACTGTGGTAAAACTTACTATCCGCAATATTTGTATAAACTACAGCAAAGAGAGAAAATAAAAAATATATAATTAGAATAAAATATGAAAAATTCCAAAGAAATCCCAAAAATAGAATATTTAATATCGCTCTATTAAATATGGTTCTAAAGGGAAACACCAATATTAACGTTTTTGCACACAAAATAGTTCAAACTGTTAACAGCAGGTGTTAATCATCCGTCAAAGTTTTAACATTTTTTAAAATCAAACAAGTAATTTTGAATAATCTTTGTATATACGTATAATATAAAAATTATAATATACAAATAATTTTAAAAATTCACTCTACTGCACATAATATAATTAAATAATTCAATTTAATTTAATTATTTAATTTAATTTAACATAATTAATTTTTATTTTAATAATAAATTACATATTATATAATTTAATTATTATAATAATAAATACATAATTTAATTAATACTTTAATAATAATATAATTAAATATTATCTATGACTATGATAAAACTTACTATTCG